GCTTTCTGCCTTTGCCGCCACGCAGCTCTCATGGGCTCCTTCCGGCACAGCCGTGAGGACAGTCCCAGCACCACTATGGTGGTGGGGTGTCCCCAGCCTACAGTGCTGGAGCATCACTTGGGCTTTGCTTACCCCTGCCCAGGCGTCCTCTCTGCAGGAGTGTGATTTTTTCTGCCTGCAGCACCCTGGGCTGCTCCCCAGCAAATGGCAGGCAGAGCATCCACAGGCACACTGTGGCTTAGGGGCAAGGGGCTGGTGTGAGCCCACCCATGCGAGGTGCTGAGCTCTGCCAGGCTTGCAGGTCGGGGTTGTGTGTGATCATGCACGCGTCTCGTCCCCCAGACATACGTGGAGTTCTGGCCCACCCAGGGCGAAGCTGCCTATGGCCGTTTCCATGTCCACCTGATCTCAGAGGAGCCCGGAGCTGGCTTCACCGCCTGGACACTTGCCGTCACCAACAAGCAGCAGGTGGGGCCTTCGCACAGAGATAGCCAAGTCCTTTGAGAACAGCCTTTGCAAGACCTGGTAGGAACAGCCAGGCTCCGGCATCAGCAGGCTTTGATTTGAGGTCCAGGTTATGGTTAAGGGTGGCAGAGGACACAACAGTGTGATGGGATGCTGGAAGGGTCCTGGCCAGAGCAGGGCCTTCTGCCTTGGGATAGCGATTGGTCCCAGACATCACCCGTGGGTAGAGGCTGTACATCCCAGTGGTGGTTCATGGATGGGGACAGCTGTTACGGGTAGCTGGGCGCTGGATTGGCATTACCCTGAGCTGCACCTGACAGTCAGCTCTTCCTGTGTGCTCTGTCCGTCTGCCGGTCTCAGAGCACTCAGTGGAGAAGGGCAGAGTCTGGAAGTGGGCAATCCTACTGTGGAGCTGCTCCCTTGATCCAGGGTGCATGGCTGAGCCAGAACACACACACTGTCCCTCCCTTCCCTCCACGAAGACAATGCATTTCTTCTCTGCCCGACCCACTGACTTTCTTCCCTTCTAGCCCAAGAAGCCTGCACTGGAAGTCCAGTTCTGGCAACTGAAGGACTGGCCCATGCAGCAGCGTCTTCCCCCACACCCTGCTACTATCATCAGCCTGCTAGGGAAGGTGGAGACACACCATCGGCAGAGCCAAGACGGACATATCCTCGTCACATGCTGGTGAGTGAGGTATCTCCGAGGAGCGGCCCTGGCACAGAGTTGGCTCAGCCCAGGCTGCATCAGTGAACTTGGGTCACAGCAGCGTCCTCAGCTCAGGTGAAGGGTGGACATAGGAATTCAGCTGTGTTCTGTCCAGGCTGGCTGGGCACAGGATCTGTAGGCACCACCATTCTGAGAGCCTGCGTGGCTAATGGGACACCTCTGAGGCTCAGCACTGCCAGCTGATCCCAGGGCAAGTGACTCTTTCCTTGTTCTGCTCCACAGGGATGGTGCCAGCCGGAGCGGAATCTTCTGTGCTGCTAGTTTCCTGTGTGAGCAGATCCAAAGCGAGGGGCTGGTGGATGTATCCCAGGCTGTGAGGATGATGAAGAGGCGGCGGAGACAGATGATTAAAGATGTGGTAGGTGTCGACATCAAACCCAGTCAGGATGGCAACACTGGAGCAAGAGCTGTAGCCTGGACCATCCCAGCAGCTGCCCTAGCACCTAGGTGCTCAGATATCCTGGGGCAGCAGGGGCAGATGAGACCTCTGAAAACCCTGAGTTTTGCTGCTGGGACATACCCACTCCCTCAGGGGACAGTTCCGTAGGACCAGGTGTGCACCAAAGCATCCTGTGGGTCCCTTTCTGGTCCACCCAGCCTGCTCAGCAAGGGGCTGTGCTGGTGGGTGCTCAGGTGCCTGTCCTGCACCCACCTCACCACCTGGTTTGGGTGCTAGAGGCCATCATAGGGTGAGCACCCTGGATGGGAGTAAGGAGCAGACACTTCACGCCATGGATGCCGGCTCTCCTTCTGAAACCAGCTGGCTCTAGCACTGGGGTAACCCAGCCCTCAGCTACTGGAGCACATGCCTGTGATTCCTCAGCAGGGAAAGCTGGGCTCTGACTGGAAGGAGGAGAGTGGGACATGCCTGCCCTTGGCTTGCTCAGGAAGCTGCTGGCCACCAAAGCTGGCCTTCCACTGCAGGTGTACCAGGTTCTCACATGCATCCTTCTGCCCACAGGAGCAGTATGGGCTCTGCTACGAACTAGCCCTCAGCTACTTGAATTCATTTGAAACCTATGGGAATTTCAAGTAGAAGCATGGCCACAGCCCATCTCTGGCCAGGACTTCGACTCTCTTCATAGCCCTCCACCAGTAACGCTGAAAACCAGAGGAGTTGAGAAGGGTGTGCACAGCCCCAGGATGCTTTACCCAACTGAAAAGCCACCCCAAGGGTCCTGTGTGGCTGGAGAGTACAGACTGGAACATCTCCAAATTGCAGTCAGGCTTTGAAGCAGGGACTTGACCCTTTGCCCAGAGTTGGCGCTGGACCTTACCTGGAATCGCAGCCTGAGTATGCAAACCTGAGCAGAGGCACTGGGATTTGACCTGTCTGTGCCAGGGATGAAGACAACCAGCTGTCCCATCCAGCCTCCAATGTCCTTTCAGGCAGCCCTAGAGAAAGTGGGGCAGCTCCAAAACACCCAAACTGCATTTTTCCAGGGGAGCATCAAGCCACTGTAAGATCCACGGGGCTCAGGATCACAGGCTCTCTGTCCTACTTTTGGAGGAGCATGTAGCCCAAGGCCAACAGGAACCAAGGGAGGGACAACCCACAGACACACAGTACTATTCTGGTCCTCCCCACCCCACACAATCCCTTCTTGGAGTTCCATCTGCCTGATGCTGATCCAGGTTCCACAGCCCTGCCTAGTCCCCCACTCACAACCCTGTTTGGCGCCACCATGGCAATTTCCAGTTGTAGCGACTCAACTCAGATGATACTCTGGATGTTGTTTCCCCCCCCAGGAGGGGCTGCTGCACCATGGAGACTGGTTCTGCCTTTCCTGCTCAAGGGCAAAGGCCTCAGAGCCAGGGCTGACCCCATGGCTCTGTTGTGCCTCACCAATAAAGGCTCTGTGCTGGTCATGGCCATGGTGATCTCTGATCATCACTTTTCTTTTAGGTTTGACCTGACATGGGGGCTGCAAAGGAGCTGAGAGCACACAGGTCCCTCAGCTCTGGTCACAGCATGGGCACAGAACATCCCTCTGCCCAAGATGTGCATTGAGGGACATCACCCTTCACTGATTACCACCACACACCCCATCCAGATGCACATGAGAGCTGCCCATCACAGCTCTGGGGGTCCAGCACCACTGGAGGACACAGGATCACAGCAGCCCTGCTCATGGCCTCCTCTCAGTTAGCTCCCTACATGCGGATGTGACTCCAGGAGGGCAATGGGGGACCAGGCAGGAGCTGCAGTGGGGTGGGCAGCCCCCTCCAAACCACAAGCCTTTATTGGTTGTCCAGGCAGAGCAGGCAGAGTCATGATGGCAGCCAGGCAGAGTGGACAGAACAGGGAGAGGGCTTGGCAACCCAGAATGTGGAAGTAGCATGTACCATCCCTCAGTCTAAGCCTGTGTGAGTCAGGGATCAGGAAATCTGGTGCACAGTTTCTGCTTCCAGGAAAGCAAAAATGAAAGCAAGGCCTAAAAGACAGTAACCAAGGAAAGTCGCAGTCAAAGGCCTTACAACAGCGGTTACGTGAGAGCTGGGCAGTGAAGGGGGTGAGGAAAGAAAAAGCTCACAACCCTCCTTGGCCTCCTGTTTTTGTCTTGCTCTGCTGAAGTGCATGGGACCCGCAGTGCTGGTCACAGTCACAGGAGAGGCAGGAGCCCGGCAGCCATCAGCACAGACCTGGGGTCATCCTCCCATCTTCTCCGCTCCCTCATGGCTCTGAAAGTCTCCTGGGGTCCTGGGCAGGGTCTGAAGTGGCTGATCTCCAGCCTGGCCACCTCCACCTGTGGAGACCAACAGCACCCAGGGCAGGAGCTGCTGCGTGCCCTTGGCAGCGTGGGCAGCTCTCGCCACCACAGCTACCTGTACACAATGGTCTGAGACACGCTGGAGCATGGGGCAGTGCCTGGCC